AATCACAAGTGTTAAAGACAAGAAAAAGCATAGTTACATAGTGATCTTTGGGGAAAGATTCAAACATGCCCTTTCATTCTACACTTGTTAGTGATGACACTCCTTTTGTCACTAAAATTAGGTGTTTCAAAAAAAAAGATTAATCTGATTTCAAGAATGGGAATCAGAATCATAATTTGTGTTGTGTGAAGAATTGACTAACCTAGAGGTGCTTGGATTGATTCTTTTGTAAAAAACAAGAACCTGAAAGTGATCATTTTCAGGACTCCAAGAATCAGTAATATGAATTACGTCAAACAACATAAAAATTGGATCTTTTTTATTTCTGTTGGGATGCCTGACACAATAGAATCAGTTCAAAAAGCTGAAACAATACTCTCTTAGTGCAATCTCTGAAAGTGCCCAATAAAAAGTTCTTGGGAGGTGAAGTTACTAAAATCTGCTGAGTACTTAATAAATGGATCCAACTGAAAGAGAGAACTAATTCTCTCAAAATAAAAATAAAAAACATAAATAATTCAAACTTTTAAAGATACATACCATTACTTTACGTTGATCAACAGTAGCACAATCACCAAGAGCATAGATGCCCTCACAACCTTTTACTCTTAACCATTCATCTGTTGCAAGAGCACGCCTGTTGGCCTTCACAAGAAGAAATATAAGAGAATCTCTCTGTATATATATTTCTAAAAAACAATGATTTGATCAAAACAAACAAGAATACCTGACCAATCTGTTCCATGAAATCTGTGACGACCGGGCGAGTACCAACCCCAGTTGACCACACAATTATTCCATGTGGGACTGAAACGTTTTCTCCAGTAGATTTTATTTTCATGTTAAGTGACTCATCAGTTACACTGACCACTCGGCATCCTGTCAAAACCTCAATTCCATCTCTTTGAAACTTCTTCTCAGCAAAAGTACTTATTCTTTCATCAAACCTGCCCAGAAACATGTTAAGATCTGTTTGGATTTTAAGACTTTGGAAATGACGAATTTTTTTAATGGATTTTTGTTATAAAATTATCAAAATAGGCCTTATAGACAACAATGCAATTATATGGTAATTGCAGTGTGAAATTGAATACCAGTCTGGTCACTATAGTCACTGCAAAAATACAACTCTGGACACTGCATACATACGTATTAAAAATTATATTCTTGTCCACTATTTTCATTTTAGGTATATATTTTTCATTTTTTCATATTGGAATGATGGTACTCACGTATTCAAAATATGGTCTCCAGATTGGATGATGGTGATCCTAACAAGATCTTTCACAGATGGGTATATTTTCACTAAATCTTCATGAACAAAGTCGTGTAACTCTGCAGCAAATTCTATACCAGTTGGGCCACCCCCTACTATGACAAAATGGAGGTTCATTTTCCTCTCATCTTCACTTAACTCTGGAAGCACTGCCTTTTCAAAGCAATCAATCACAGCTCGGCGGATGCTTTGAGCATCTTCCACTTCCTGTCAGGAATAGTTTGTTTCTTTTTAATAAATAAAAACATGCTCCGTATATCTTATTTATGTATGAAATGAGAGCTCGTTTTACCTTCAGAAAGTGACAATGCTCCGAAACGCCAGGGGTGTTAAAAGTGTTCACTTTTGCTCCAACGGATATAACCAAATAGTCATAATCTAATGAGAAGTCATTTTTCCCAACTAAATTTTCATCAATGAGAGAACGGCAGTGTACTCTCTTTTCCTTTGGGTCAATCTTCAAGCACTCCGCTTCCCAAAATTTAACTTCTCCATTTCTCTGTCAAGACAAGGTGAAGGAGAAAAGTTGAAGAGAAAACATAAAAACAAATAGGGCGCAAAGTTATTATTATTTTCTTACCTTCTTTATAATGTTGCGTATTGGCTCAACTATGCTTCGTGCCTCAACAGTACCACAAGTGACACTAGGTAACAATGGAGTGAAGGCAAAATAGTTCCGAGGGGAGACGACTTGAACATCATAGGATGAAATGTCCAAATCCTTAAGGAAACTAGTGGCACCCCATCCAGTTCCTAGCACCAAGACTCTCTTTTTCTTTGGTTCTAATGAATGAACATATTCCACAACTTTTGTTTCACTGTTTGAATTGGAGTCTGCATATGCAATCAAACCTCCACTACTGCAAAAACAAACATCGTGGATAAAACTGAAGGCCCCATACATGTCTCACACCCAAAAAAATCATTTGTGATTAAGTGAAAGCAATAGATGTTCATTACACACAAATGATTAGTTAGATAAATCTAACTATCTATTAGGCCAAAAGGATCCACTAAGAAGAATACTCTGGGTATACTACTTCGACAGTCAAGAATAGGATTATAAGAAAGTCCAGAGATTAGTCTCCATTCACATAAGATCATGGAAAGCTCCGAATAAGAAAATATGGAATAGGAGGCAGTATAAGGGAGTAGGGTCCAGATCACGAACCATAAGGGAACCCAAAAATGGTGAAAAGAAAGAGCAGGTAACTGGGGTTTTCCAAGAATCGAGATGTGCTACTGGGCAGTCTGGGCTCTGATAAAAAAGTAATCTTTTTAACAAATTAAGGCTGGAAGAAGAAGGGAGGAGTGGGAAAGAACCTGACAGTGAGGAGAACAACAAGCTTAGAATAGTTCGAAGGTTTGCTATGCAGAGCTCTGCTCAAAAATGAGAAAGCGCCCATTTCCGTCTTCTAGTTTTTATTATGACCTTCCTATCCAATGCTCTCTTTTAGTCTCTCTTGTTTGCCTTTCACCTCTCAGCTTAGTATGATCACACTCCCCTCAAATCTTCTTACATGGTGGCACGATGAACACGAGATTCATGAGACCCAAGTCAACGAGAACCCAGCGCATAAAAGTCTTCTTTATCTGTCTTTTTTTACTTGTACTTTATATTCGAGGGTGTTTTTTATACAATTGGAGGTGTTTGATTACGTATAAAAATAGGTTGCATATATTTTTAGTCTTTTAAATATGGTACATTTTGTTTTACATTTACGTAAAACAACTTTTAAATTTTAATCTTTGTAATACGGAGCATATTTACATTTTTTTAGTTCATCATCAATCACAGCATCCTCCTTTAAATAAAGAAACATTCCACCAGGGCTGATCCTGAGGAAATGAAGGTCTTGTACAACAAAAATAATTAGGCCTTCTTTTCAAATTTTCAACACAAATCGGGACCCGAAAGTCGGGACTCGTACATAAATCGGTTTAATGAAGGTTTTTTGAGTTATAAAATCGGTTCAAACCGAACCGAACCGATTTTTATTAAAAGATATTTTTAATTATTTATTTTGTAAAACAAATAGGTAATATAAATCTTGTACGTCCTTATTTCAAGAATTAGTTGATTTGGTCCAGTGAGTTGATGTTTAGAGATCAGTGTGCATGATTTTATTTTCACCCGGGTTCGAATCCCGCATGCCTCGCTTCTTATCTTTTTAGTTTCTAAAGGTTAAGATTCCCACACCGGTGGAAACGGAGGATTTACTACTCCTTCGTTTCTATATATACGCCCCACCTCTAAGTAATACTAGTATATTACTACAAAAAAATTTGGGCCCTTCCAATTTTTTGGGCCTTGTGCGGTTGGACGCCCTGCACACCGCCAGGGCCGGCCCTGCATTCCACATAATAGATTTTTCTCTAATTCTTTGTCTTATTATTCATAAAAAAGTAATATTGCTTTCAAAATGTTGTTAAAACCTATTTTTAAAACTTAAATGATAAGCTTTACAATGTTTTACCTCTCACATTAGTCTCAAAAAAATATAAAATAATAAATTTAAAAGCTTCTAGTAGATTTATGTAATTGACATTAATTTTTTCTAAGTAGAGTGGTCTTAGATTTAGAGATGAATTAAAAAGGAAATAATGCAAATTGCAATGATGAAAAATAAAAATAAAAATAAAAATGCATGGGATTTAAAATAAAATATGGCATATTTATATTGACCAAAAAGGCATTTAAGCATACAAAATAATTGCTTTGGAGGTAAGATGTAGGGACGTAAAAGACTCTCACTTCTCTATGTTGTATACTTGCAACAGGAATGATCCTGTCCAGCCGGAGGGACGGGACCCTTCGTCCGACCGTCGCCTTTTGAAGCGGTTCGCGATGGAATTTTTTGATGCAATTTTTGAGCATGTTTTTTATCAAGTCTAATTTAGTCATACAAAAATTCAGCTAAAAATTCAATCGGGAAGACAGTCAAATAAATTCTTGAAGATAATTGCGCCAAAATATACACATAAAACGCAGTCATTTTCCAAAATTTATTTGACTGTCTTTCCGATTGAATTTGTAACTGATTTTTTTTGAAAATAAACTAGATTTGACGAGGAACATGTTCAAACGACTTCATCAAAAAAACCACCACAAACCGGCTTAAACAGTGGCGTCCGGATAGAGAATCTTGTCCATCACGATGGACATGATCTTTTTTCATACATTCAAATTATTTAATTGTTCACCAACTTATAAAAGCCCGCAACAACTTTAAATATTCTCCGTATATTGTATGGGCTACTTTATGGTATTAGCTTATTGAGCTTTTATTTTCGAAAATGTAGGAAACCTAAAAAAGTTGTTTTTCATTTTAATATTTAATTAGTTCATGAGTAAAAATATATGTATCGACGACACTTCTTAATACCAGTTGTTATACCGTGGGATCATCCCACGGTGAGCATCCTACTCCCACATATAAAATGGTGTCATTTAGGTTAAATTTAACAAAATTCGCGTGAACAGTACTCTTATTTTTGTCTAATTTTTTTCGTGATGTAAATCCTTTATATTGATATGTAACTCGCGTTATTGTAAAATGTAAATCAAGTGTTTTCAAATGTAACTCACGCGCTGGAGTATGTAACTTGTTTTATTCATTTTTTTAAAGAGTAACTTGTTTTACTCTCTCAACTTGTTATACCAGTTGAAATATAGTTTTATAAAATTATTTTTATAAAAATCGGTCTATATTTTTTATTTCTATAAAAATGATTTTTTATAAAAATAATTTTTCTTTGAATACAAGGAGCTTGTTTTGTTGTGTAACTCGCATTATATTGCGGTGTAACTCGCATTATAAAAAATGTAAATCACGTGTAAATGAAATGTAACTTGTTGAGAAAAGTTGACATGTAACTCACGCTTATAAATATGTAACTTTAAGCGAATTCAGATGTAACTTGAGTGTGTTCAAGATGTAAACTGAGAAAAATAATTCATAGCAGTCATCTTCAACATGTAAATTGTATAAAAAAAATTCCAGTTGAGTTCTTAAAAAGTACCACGTAACAAGCAAAATTCATAAGCAAAATTCCAATGAGTTCTCTCAGCAGCTTTCTTTGAGAGTATTAGATGAAGAGATGTTCTCTTAATGAAAAATTAAACCCTAAGTGCGCACAAAATATCAAAGGGAATGAGCTGAGAAGTTTTTGTGAACAGAGCATAGCTTCGATGGACTGCAGGGATGAGATTGACGCATCAAATATGCCATCAAGGTTGAGCGCCGCAGCCGCCGCTGCACCAAAGCTGTGCCGCTGCACTGTTGCACCGCTGCGCCGCCGCCTCGAGGATGAGCAGTTGGACCGCTGCCACTTCCTCGCCGGCGAGTGTCATGACCAATTTCCGATGCTCTCTCGAAGGAACACTCATAGCTTCTTTAATCCGGCGTAATAACAACGGCGATACCCGCTTTTTTAATTAATACAGAGCAAAACTATGTCGTTTTGGGATAGGTGCACCATGAGGATGGTGCACCGATCCCACGATATAAATTGTTGTCTTAATACTAGTGTACGTTCACCGAATGAAAGTGACTTTAATGTGTGATGCATTTTTTTTTGACACCATAAGGTTTGATATATACGTGGGAATGGATAATAGAGGATTTCTACTTTTGGAGCTTAGTTAACAACTTAACATATGCTTCGTATAATGAGTGGGAAATAAGGAATGGGAATTGAATACAATACCCTAGAGAAAGGGGTGAATTCTGGCTAATAAGAGTGTAGACGAGGTGTCATAAAAGGCTAAGAATTTAAGAGCACAAAAAGCTTAAATTTGAAGACTTGGAAACAAATACTCATAAGGATATATCCCACACCGGGAACGTAAGGATGAGTTGCTGCGATAGCATCTATATATTGGCTAACTTGATTTCCTTATTTCACACGCAGCCATGCTACAAACACAAAGCGAACTATTCTTTCGCCTTTTACTAAAGAATACCGTGTGTTTGTAGCGATCAGTGGCATACGCCCATTTTTGGAGGGTCTCCTTAATAAAGGAACCCAACTAAACTTAGTTCAATTTTCTTTTTGTACTTATGGTGCTTAATAGTGGATTGTTTATTCCGAAATTCAAACACGGTTCATATTCAACAAATATTTTATAATTCCAAAAACGAGTTGGAAAGTATGCCTTTTTAATTGTTAACATATATTATATTAATCTGAAATAATTAATTAATACTCCGTTTAATTCAAACACGAGTTGGAAAGTATGTTTTTTAAAACGAGTTGGAAAGTATGCTTTTTAATCTGAAATTCAAATAACTCCGTCTCGCTATGATTGTCTAATTTTACCTTATCGGTCCGTTCCACTAAGATTGTCACATACCAAATTTGGTAAAGTTTGTGTGACTCTAAATCATTCTTACTTTATCAATTCAATATCAACCATATAAACCACTTTTTATTAATTTGCGTGTCACTCCCTCTTGTCCCATTGTTAGCGGGACGGAGGGAGTAATATTAAACGAGTTGGAGTATATCAATTATTATTATGTTTTAGGGAGAACTATCAAATAAGCTCTTAAACTTTCATAAAAAGTGAACATAAGCTCTTTTATATGAGGCTCCGTCCGGCTGTCGCCATTTGATCCGGTTTCCGGTGGAATTTTTTAAGCTAAAAATTCAATCGAGAAGGCAGTCAAATGAATTTTTGAAGATAACTGCGCAGTTAGACAGCGCAATATTTTTTTTATATCGGTATTGTTGGTAGGCTACATTGGAGTAGATGTTGAGGATCTTTTGTAATCGAGCAAGTAAATTAGTAATCTTTAAAGCTATTTAAAGTAGTAATTCAATAAAAAAGTTGTGATATTTTACATATTTCAAGTGATCGCGATGATGATAAAGATGTGAGTGGTTTAGTGGTTAATCATTAGATAGATGATTTGATGATTATTAACCTTCATATTAATTTTGAGCATCAATGAAAACATTATAAAAGCTTGGTCGAAAGTGGGAGGATACACTTTGCTAATCATATTGTGATGGTATTATTTCATTGACAATCAAGACATGCGTCCTCCCAAACTTATAAGTTTTCTTTTGTACTGAAATTTGCCGATCTGATTTGATCTGAACTGATCTGGTCTGATAAACGTCTGATCTTTGTGTAGTTTATAACTATGGAAGTCTGGTCTGAATTGACCTGGTCTGGGACTGAAAACAGTCCAAAAGAAAACATCATAATCCCATGTTATTGTTCATGGTCATGAAATGCCCACTAGTTGTTACATAAGCAGGGATTAAACTAAACAGGCCTCTTTCCAAAAAAACTAAGCAGACCATATAGTTTTAGGCTATGTTTGGTAAACATAAGTCCCTACCTTCTAGCTTTTGGCTCTGTTCGGCGGAGCATTTAAGCTCATAATGAGCTTAAATATTTGAGTTCCAGTCAAGTAATATACAATTAAAGGTGTTCGGATAAAGGACTGATTTGAGCTGGAACTAGAAAACAATAGCTGGATTGAAACACTTAGGTTAGCAACGTTTCCCTTCAGTCAATTCCCTCTTTCCGATATTAGCCTCTTCGCTTTACCTTCCGCTTCAATCTCTGCTGCCGCCTTCAAAACAAATCCCAATAAATTCACTACACCCACTGTTTTTCTCTCTAGAACACATAATTATTTCATACATATTATTTCATCTGGCATTGTTCATTTTATAGAATTGAACGGTATTATACCTTTAAAATATGGGATGACTTTGGACTGAGATAGTGCTATTATATATATATATATATGTATGTATGTATGTATGTATGTATGTATGTATGTATGTATGTATGTATATTTATAGCATCCAAATGCACGCACAGAATATGAAGATAGTACTATTATTAATACATATATATTTATTCATGTATAAATTCAAAAATAATAAAATATATATACACACATACATATATATACACGTAGTATATATAGATATATACGTAATTTATTGAAATTTTAAGAGGTCACATTTTAGTTAACGTAATGTTGATATAAATGATTAATTTTATATTATACGTAGTACATAAATATACAATATAAAATTCTATTATTTATTGAAATATAAGAATCGTTAAAATAAATTTGTTTTTATTAATAAATCATGTGCCCTTTAATGTAATTTCATATTATCCTGCACTTTTCCAGCTCTTTTTGCCAAACGAGACTACTTCATTCAGATAGGAATTCAGATTCAGCAATTTAAGGTTCAGCTCCACACAATTGTCTCTGATTCAGACTATAACCTCTATTTCAGACATCAGCCTCCAGCTTCAGCTCGTTGTGCAAAAAAAAACATGTTTAATAATAATAATAATAATAATAATAATAATAATAATAATAATAAGGATTGTAATATCTGAACCTCCAGCTTCAGCTCGTTTGTACTATTTAAAAAGTCTTTAAAAGCTTCTGATTGTATGTTTGGCATGCCAATTTTTAAGAGCTTTTATAAAATTAAAAAATCTTTTTTGAGATGCTACAGTGAGTAGCATCTCAGATAAGTCTGTAGCTTCTAGCATTAATTAGTCCTAACAGCTTGTATACCAAACGGAGCTAAATCAAACAGTCAGCTTTTTTTCAAACAGCTACTACCTTTTTCTTTTAAGATCTTTTTAGTCACTAAAAGCTAACAATTACTAAAAAGCTAATAAAAGTATCTTTTCAGCTAGTTGTGCCAAACATACCCTTAAGATCTTTTCAGTCACTAAAATCTAACAGTTACTACAAAGCTAATAAAAGTATCTTTTGAGCTAGTTGTGCCAAACAATCCCTTAATATCTCACTCTTCATAAATCATTCTATTAAAATCAATTTGGGGAAAAGAGAAAATAGTCTGAGCTTTTCACCTCAAAGTGGTACATGGTACCCATGAGAGGGGTAATAGATACTCCATTCAAATGTGGGGCTAAAGATAGATTAAAATCTCAATTTTCTAACTTTTTTATTTGTATTCTAATATATAAAAATTCAAAATTTTTATGATATTTCATTACACTAATGTTATATGTATAAAATTCAAAAAATGGAATTTCATATATTGAAATTAAGTTAACATGATTAATTTTTTTAGTAAGTCTAAAATAAGTCTGAAGTGATCACAACAAAGCTAAAGTCTAAATTTATTTATATTTAGATCAAAGTTGTTGACTTTTTAAATCATAATTATTTACAAAAAATGGCAAAGAATTGATGTATAACAATAAAAGAAAAACTTTAATAAAAAAAACTTTGTTAAGTAAATAAATTGAATGCTGGATTTTGGAGAAAATATAAATTAATTTAATTAATTTGACTAAATTGATTATGAAAAAAAATTGTATAAATTGATGAAAATTTTGATTTATTGATGAAACTGAGTTGCAGTAACCTTATAAAGAGCATAAACTAAGAATGACAAGATAACTCTTACAAGTTAGTACATTCATCACATTCAGTGATTCTCTTTACAAATTAAAGTGACACAATTAATTAAATAATAATTAAATATGATAATTTAAGCATATTTTGAAAATAATTTTGTAATTACATAATACAGTGTATAATGGAGTATTTCATAACAACTGCAATGTTATATGCATATCTTTATATATTTAACAATGGAATAACTGTTCCCGCCTGATTCCATTGTGTGAATTGCTTCGTACCAACCTAGGATTCCATTATCTTTAATGATAAGTGATCACGTGCCAAAATTATAGGGAAACCACGATCTATTATTTATGCAACACACCACGTAAATGGAACAAACTGCAAGAAATAAATGATAAATGTATAAATACAGTTGTACTACACAAATTAATTTTATAATTTTATAATAATAACACACGTCCAGAATATACAGATGGCCCCACTGAATACACTTGAGCAGTTTCTTCCACAATTTATAAATACAGTTGTACTACACAAATTAATTTTATAATTTTATAATAATAACACATGTCCAGAATATACAGATGGCTCCACTGAATACACTTGAGCCGTTTCTTCCACGTTTAGCACACGTCCAATCACACTTCCTAATAACCGCCTCTGCTATCAGTATATATTCAAGATCCAACCTACGATTAAAATAGCTCTGGCAGGAAACTCTTTTGCAGAGATAAACTAATATTGTGTACGGTTAGAAAAATGCTTTACGACAAAGTGTTGGAGATTAACAAGTCCAGGACAAACTAGACTTTACGATTGAGGCTGATTCGAGCATACACTACTCCATCTTTCAGTAACAAAAGTATCACGAATACTTTAGAGTGCGTCTTCCATGATTCTGAGGTACAATTTTATAGAAGAATTTATGCTATCTTCAACCTAACCTTACTTTTTTTGTAGGGGGACAGAGTGCATGCCACAATACGTCGTGAGAGAGTTATGCATTTTAAAGAAAGTCTCAAGGAAGGAAAATTGTATAGTGTTAGGAACTTCATTGTGGCACCTAATGACATGAAGTACAAGACAATGACACTAGCGTACAAGATTCTCTTCAACCACAAGACCACGGCAGTTGACATCATTGATGGAAACTTTCCTACTTTCCTGTTCAACTTTAAGCCATTTGTCCAGCTTGCATATGCAAATAATGTTGACCAATCCGAATTATTTGGTAATGAATAATATAAGAATTCAGTATCTTATAATAATTCTTACAACTTTTAATTTTTAGTATTATAATATTTTAGATTATGTAATACCCAAATTATTATTGATTTGTATAACTATTGATACATTATATGATATAATATCATAGAATTTACAGAAGAATTTAAGCTCTTACAAACTGTCTCTAAAGATGTCATAGGTAGCATCAAGTCTATTCACT